TTTAAATATTTATTCAATTATTTTCAAAATGTTAAAGCAGATTTTATTTATCTTCTCAGTAAAACTTCCTAACATCCCTTTTCCTCTATTTCTTTTTTTTCTCATCTTCCCTCCCATCCTCTGCACACAGCACAGCAGCCTCCATGTCTGGGTTCTGAGTCCCTCAAACGCTTCCTCAAAGCTCAGCCTACACTGGCTCTTACCTCCTTGGCCCTCTTCCCCAGCCTCTCCCATCTTTTCCACCCAGCAACCTCTGCCCTTTCTCTCCTCCCTTGTTTCCTCCCTCCCTTCACTCATTACCCAGATCCACAGGAGAAAGCCATACCGAAGCTGCTAAAACTTCGAAGTTTCCTTTCTCAAGAAGGCAGGGAAGAAGGGAAGTTATGAACAGGTTAATAATGTTTTTTCTTCTCACAAAACAGATACACACCTGTTAACACAGTTGAATGCAGAATCACATCAAGAGTTAGCTATGGTTAATATCTGAGAAGTGGGAGTATGGGGACTTTTTTCCATTGTATTCATTTCTGTCTCGTTCATATTATTTCACAGTGAGCATGTGTTAATTATATGCCAAATCAGAAAATAAATAGATTTATTTTACTTCTGAAATTAGTATGGAAATCAGGGCAAAGAGAGAAAATAGTAGAAAAAGTAAAGCAAAAGCAGAGATGATGTGAGTATCCAAAATATATTCTCTTGATCCTATATTTAAGTCATGTAAAGTGCCAGCGTGGGGCCCAGCACACATTTGATAAAAAGTGACTGTTATTGGTCAGGACTTAATGAACCTCGATCCCTCACAGGAACTGAAACTTCCCAATTGAATCAGAGTAGCTGGTAGCTGGAAGGAGGTCAGGCTGGGACATCACAGTCCCTAGCCCCACCCAGGCAACCTCTCTGCAGGGTTGGATGAGTCAAGAAATAGTCTTATTGGGTCTGACAAGCTCTGCCTGTCTCCTCCCTGACCTTCTGGTGCCTTTCTGACTATATCTTTTTAGACAGGCTGGGGTGTGTGTGTGTGTGTGTGTGTGTGTGTGTGTGTGTGTGTGAAGGGATCCTGTTCCTGAAGAGTTTGGATATCCACCCCCAGGGTGCCCTAGACTGTAGTTCAGTTCAGCTGTGGAAGATGAAACAAAATTTAAAAATCAAATAGCTCTTATAACACGTTTCATTCCGTCTGTATGCCTGTGGGATGCCCAGTTTGACCAGGCTCTATCGACTTGGTACACGGCACCAGTCCCCAAAAAATATACATCAGTCAACCACTAAGGATTCTTTGGGCGCCTACTGTATACTAGACATTACTGAACATCTATTCTGTAAAAGATGATGACACAGGCAAAGCAGAGGAAGAATACCAATAATAACCCTTGCCATTTACTGAAGGCCTGTGAAATGTAAGCCTCTCCACAAATTCCTGGGGACTCTTCTTGGACCCTGGAGAATCCTGAGGCTGGAATGACTAGAAACCACACTTAGACTTAAAGTCAGGTATCTCTGAGGCCCTCACTCTCTGGGTCTTGGCCAATCAGAACCCTTGGCCATAGCGATGGGCTGAGGAACAGCCGTAAGTCTCAATAAGAGCCAATGAAACGCAACATGGGAAATAAAAATTGTTGGAACTGTTGAGAAAAATGAGTCTCTATTTCTGTTGGAGTTGCTGAGAGACTAGGATGCATGGCTGGTGCTGCTGGCAGCCATCTAGTGACCATGAGGAGAGAGCCTGCTGGAGAATGAGGCCGGCAGAGCGGGAAACAGTTTTGAGAAACAGAGAGTGTCACTGAATCCTGACATCCTCTGAGGTTCTCAGTGCGGCCATGCCTAAAGCCAGCTCTACCCCTGGACTTTGCAGTTTAAGTTGTATTTTCTGCCAGTTGAGCCCTGATACTCCAACTGAGCAAAGGCTGTGCAGAGACCCAGGCATTTGGAGGAGGCACCCCTCAGCACCCAAACTACAGGATCTGACGAGGGAAGCATGTTTTCTTGCCACGATACCACCAACCCTCTGTCAGAGAGCACGGCGAGCCCACAACTGCCAACAGAAGCCCCACGATGCCAGCAAAGGAGTAAATCCCCACGGATGAGCCGTGCCTCCTTAGAGACGTCACTTTCTCCCTCTGAACATTAATGTTTTCACTTGCGATAGAGGGTGAGGTGAGAATCACATCTCCTGCATAGAATTGTTCCCAGAAGGCTGTTTTAGAGGAGATGAGCTCTGAGGATCTCTAAGAAGTTGGGGGTTAGGGTCAGAGTTGGCGGCAAACCTTCGCACTTGTTTTCCCCTGAGCAGCATAAGACCCGGGATTGCCTCTCCTGGGGCAGCCTGGTGGAGAGGAGGAGACAGCCCGTAACACTGAGAGGCTTCGGTTCCAGTCCTGGCGCTGTAGCCAATTCCGGGGTCTGGCTCCTCCCCCTGCCCACACACCCCTTCCAGAAGTGAGAAAACCACGCCTCTCTCCTCTGTTTTCTTCAGAGCCCGGATCATATCTCGTTCATTGCTGTATCCCCAGTAGTCTGCCCAGTTCCTGCCTTGCA